ATTTGCATTTTTATTCCATTTTTATTCATATTAAGTTGAAATCGGTCTCAAAATGTCAATATTATCGTTTATCACAATAAATTCTTGGTCAATTAATCGACCAGCAAAATCTGTTATCGTTACAGGCCTCACTATATTTAGGCTGAATTCTTCTCTGAAACTGAAAACTTTCTGATCCACTTTGTGATGTCATGTAGTAATATATACACCTTCATGAGAACATTTTGATCATTTCCACCTTGAAATTTCCAGTTTGTACTAATCAAAAGGTAAAAAGTAGATGAAAACTACAGCATCATGAGGTCACAAGGTGGAACAGAACATTTTGAGCTTCGGAGATATATAGACAGACTAAAAATAAAGGATTACTCAAATGTGTAAATGAAACAAAACAGCTCAACAGGTATGTTTTTGAGGAGGAAATAACGTTCTAACATAATTTAAAGCTCACAAGAGTCAATTTCGTGTAATAGGGGAAATTGACTAAACATGACTTTTAGAATATTCCAGAAACTACCTTTAAGCATTGGTGTATTTTTTTGTACCACCTAAGGTTCTACTTGGGTTATTTCTGCCTTCCCACAGATTGACAGTGTTGAAGATGAGACAGTCTTCAGAACGCCTGGAGGAGTTTTACCCATCACAGCTAAGTCTGCAGCAACTGCCACAATCCAGCTATTCTCCACTGCCGTCTGCTGACAGGGGGTGCCAGATTGGGAGCTCTTTCTCTGGCATCAGTAAAGAGTAATTTATGTGCAGTTTCTTGGGCTTTAACATATAGAGTTTGTGTCCATGTCTGCTCATGGCTTTACATCAGGTGTGTTATTGGAGAATGTTCTCAAGTCGCAGAAGATCATGATGTACTTTAGGCCAGACAGTTAAAGAGGTACTGTATTTTTCGGACTATAAGTTACACTTTTGTTTGTGGTTTGGGTGGTCCTGTGACTTATAGTCCGGTGCGACTTATTTATTAAAATGTTCAGACTGACAGCAGCAAGAGGGCGCTCTAGGCTTGTGTGTCAGTATCTGCTACTCCTATTAGTCCTGTACCACTGTCACTTCGCTCTGCTGCGCACGTCTCCTGCAGAAAAAGCTGCTGTCCTGCTGCAAATAGTGAAATATTCAGCTGAAAACGGTAATTGAGCAGCAGAAAGAAAGTTTGGAGTGAGCGAGAAACTTGAGGGACTGTGTAGGAAAACTGGGAATGGAGAACACATTTTCATCCTTAGTCCTCTGCTGGACTGAGGCCAGCCACCATAAACATACAAAAACACAATGCAAAACTTTACACAGAAACTTTACTAATCCCAATGCATTCACATGTGTATTTACATTTATAGAGTGTCTTCAAATTCAATATGTAAGGTAAACCCTCCACCCCACCCCCTTCTATCTGTTGTATCTGATGTACCAATTTCATTGCACCTTTCTGGGCCTCTGACAGTTGGCTCACTTCTCTCCGCACCTCCTTGATTTTAGCCTCTAACCGTCTTTGCCATGGTGGGTATTGTATCGCATGGCTCCCATGGTTGCTCTTATAGCCCAACACATCTAGGATCACTGCTGCTGAAGTGTACATCAGCTCATTGGTTTCAGTGATTGTTGTGGTAGGGATCGCTCTCAGTGCTGCATTCACATCGTCTAGGAGACTTTCAGATGGTACTTCACTTAGCCTCTGTAACTGGCATCGGGGTTGCCTTGTGTTCATTCGGGCCATGATCTTATCTTTCAGGTCAGTCACTGCCTCGCTCAGCGTGATACTTATTGGGGTTTCGTACCCAATCTCTGGTTGGGGAGTTGGTGTGACTTCCCAATTGAGTTAACCAGCTGCTCTTTTTTTTTTTTTTCATCATTAAAAAAGTGTTTTTTATTTGAAGAAATCATGTTCCATTTTAAGGGAAAATGAATCAAATAACAAAAACATGTTAAATTAATGTGAATATGTTAACACGGATTTGGTCAGCATCAACAAATGAGATGTCCAGTTTGAATCAAATAATAGCAAATAACCTTATTAAATGTATACCTATATTTACTTGTATAACATACTGGTGTGTTCAACTTCATATTAGCATGGGTGACAGTTTTATCAATTAAATGTGATGTAATGTAAATGTGTTTTACACATTCAGAAAATACAAATATTGATGCCCAAGACCTGCATTATGTATAATTGTTCAAAGTAGTCGTTCCATTTTACCATCTTGGCTGTGCACTAAAACATATTTTTAAGGCATCAATCAATCACTCAATTATTGGATATTAACATTTTCTTGTAATGTTACACTGCCGAAATACACCCCAAGAATTGACCTTATTACTAGACTCTGTCCAAATGTGACTTTTGATCAGAGTAAATTAGCCACATTTTACACGGAGTTCCAAAGCTCTGGCATGTAGGCGATTTGGTGATTATGATGACTTCTTCTCAAGATTGTATTTGATGAGACGACTTCCTTGGATTAACTGAGCTGTTTCGTTGGTTATGTGGCAGGCAAACAACAGCCAGTTGCGGGGTTGCACTTTGTAAGCAAATCTCATGAACACGAGTGAGTAGCAACAGAGAGCGAAGGTCATTCTGCCACTGATAATCTCAGGGCTCTTTTTCATATCTGAGATGGCTGCTATAGGTAGACCCCAGTTTGCCACAGGTCCCCAGAAATGCGTGCTCATCAAATAATCTCTGAACTCCTTGCTTTTCAAATGGTCTACAGCTTTACGGGCAATCGTTCCTGCCATTTTCTTGTGTGGGAGATCAAAATTGTTGTCCTGTTTCTAGTTTGAAGGACGACCCGATTTTCGAGCGCAGAGGACACTGGTCTAAAATATATATATATATATATATATACTATCTGTCGTATTTATGTAGAACACAGAGATTAGAAAAATAACAATGAATTCCTCTCCCCCATAGTGACATGTCACTATGGCGATAATTAATCCTTTTAGAACTTTGAAGTGTCATAAAGGCCAGCAAAGACAGTAAGGACAGCAAGGACAGCAAAGAAGACAGTCACACCTTATGGCAGAGAGACAAAACTTACAACGCACAACTTTTATTTAGGACACAGCTCCACAAACATGTGTCAAAACCACATGTCCAGTGGGTTATTGAAAAAAAAATGTTTAGCAACACCTCCAAGAAACCAACCTAGACCAATTTAAAGAAGTGGGAGCATTGACAAAGAGATAAAAATATCTGCCTTTTTTTACCTTAAAGTTTGTCATGTATTAATGGTGATTTTTGAAAGAAAAGAGTCTCCTAAAATCTCAAAATGAAATGGCAAAATGTATGTATAGAATGTACCTCTATAAATAAAAACTGAAGTGACCATATTTGATTGTAGTGTGCGTGAACAGTCTAAGTTTACAATACAAGCCTGTCCTCTCCTCCTTCTTGAATGACCTTGCCAATAGATGCCTGGTTTTGAGCCTTAATGAAGCACTGTTTTTTACATTCTATCAGTAACTCCAGATCCTTCCACATCTTCATCTGCTCCATGTTGTGGCTGTGGTTTTCTCGTATCATCTTCTGTATCATCATCTATAGCATGCTTTGGGTCTATTTCAGCCAAAACATCATTTAAAATCTGTAGCAGTTGCATTGGCTTGAGGGAATCAAATGTGATGAGGTTCAAGTTTTTCTTGAATGGCTCCCTGTTTAGCTGGTCAACGATGAACTTAAGTTGTTCACTCAACAACTCACCACATGTGACGGGGTTCTATCTTATTGTAATAACGATGGCGTAGTCAGAAGGATGTTTTTTGAGTGTTTAATTAGTGTTCCCAAATAAAGAAAGTTTGAAGAGTGCTATACAACAAAAAGTGAAACAATAAAGAAAAAGCATTTACAATATATACACACACCAGCAAAAGTCTGCTTAAATGTCTGGTATATTACCTTCCTCTTCTGTTGCTGCCTGGTCTTCCTCTTGCAAGAGATGTTCTTTCTCTAGTCGCTCCAGTTCTTGCAGCTCCCTCTCTCTGGCCTCTTCTTGCTCTCTCAGTCTTTGTTCTTGTCTTTCCTTTCTTTCTCTTTCCCATGTTTGTTCCCCGTCATCCTCCTGCTCCGCCACTGAAGGTTTACGTGAGGATTGCAAATCCTCAGGACTCTGTGTGGCTGGTGGTGGGTTTTGCTGTAGATGTTGTGGACTCTGTAGGCGCGGGACAGTGAGGCCTTCTGGGACGCCAGTGTCCAGGAGAAGCTCTGGAATGTGGCTCTGCTCTGGCAGTGGCTCTGTGAGATCCTCCAGGGTGATTTTTTCTGGCTGAGGAGAGGACTCTGAGCTGGAGAAAGCAGGCTTCAGTTTTGGTGGGCTGGCTGTATCTCGTGCTGTGCTCCTGAGCTGAGGGCTGAGAGGTGGACTGAGTTCAGAGAGGAAGTCATCAGAAGGAACAGCTTTCGGATTTGAGAGTAGTGCATCCTCTACTAAGGCTGTCAGTGGGCCTTCAGTTACTTTTTGACTGTTATGTTATTTCTTGTGGGTGATTCTTGAGGAAGAGATGTGCGTCTTGCTGGAATGGGCCTTACATCCCCAAAGTGTTGGTCTCTTTCATATAAGGTCTCAGTCAATTGATGTGCATCATGACCAGCTAAAAACCCTGAAGGTAGAGTCCCGGCAGGATTTTCTAAAAACGTCACTTTAGGTTGAATTTCAGAGGATTTTCTGGTGTCATATGATGTTACAGAGGGGGTCCTAGTAGCTTTGGGAGAGACCACTCTGTGTGGCCGTCTCAGTGGGGAGTCTGCGCGAGGAGCAGGATACTGTGGGGAAAGTGGTCTCCGGATGAGCATGTGTGAGATGTTGGACACCACTGCCCTCTGCTGGTAGTTCCTATAGGCTTCCTCAATAGTCTCAGCTTCTCTCTGTAACTCCAGCATTCGGGCTTTAGCATCAGCAATAAGATCCATGTCAGATTCGAATGCGTTGGCCCAGGTGTCTCCTTGCAAGGATCCATCTGCTTTAGACAAATCATAATGCGCTGTGTTCTTCAGTACGGTTCTGTCCACATAGATGTCAGGAGGAACCAGGTGGTCAGAGCAGATCTCCAGAATAGAGCGGTCAACTAGAGAAGGCTTGGGATTACGCAGCACTTCATTTTCAAGAGCTTGCTGTGTTTGCTGCAGTTGCATCTTAATATCGTCCACATGGTTGTTCATCCACTTGGCCTTCTCCTCAGACTCCATCAGATGTGCTCTGAGCTGAGCACTGTGCTCCACCTCACTTTGGAGCTGAGCCTGCAGCACCTGTTTCTGTTTGTCCCAGTCTTCTTCAGCCTGTCTTCGAGCGCTCTGGATCCTCTGCAGATCCGCACGCAGATGACTGTTCTCCTCCAGCGCCTCCTCCAGCTGTTTGCCCAGCAGTCGCAGCTGGCCCTGTAGCTCCACCCTCTCTGATTTAAGGCTTGTGTAGTCATTCATGGTTTCAAGCTTCTCTTTAAGTAACTCCTTTTGTTCAGTCAGTATAGACTGCTGCTGCTGTGCCATGTTAAGCTCAATCTTCAGCTCTTTGATCTCTGAACATGCTCTAACATGCTCTTCCAATTTGGCGTCAAGCTCAGCTGACTCCTTTAAAAGACGCTCTGTTTCCATTTTATTTCGTGTCTCATTTTCTGTCAGTTTTTCTGTTCTCTTGACAAATTCTTCCTTGAGTTCAAGTTGATATCTAGAAATTTCATTTCTAAGTCTTTGGTCATGCGTATCTTCCAAGGTCTTCACAGCCACTTCCCTTCGTCTCAGCAACTCCACTGTGGTCTTCACTTTTTCCTCATGAATCTGACAATTTTTTTGAAAAGCCTCCATTCTGATCCTCAGCTCACTCTCCCGGTTCCGGACGGTTTCAATTTCCTTAAGTACTTCTTGTCTTTGCATGTAGACATTTTTTTCTTCAATCTCTTGCTGTTTTTGTAACCGGACAATTGCATTTTTTTCACGTTCCGTGAGAGCTTTTGCTTTCATTTCATATGTCTCCTCCAGTTCATGTTTGAGTTTAACCATTTCTTTGTTAAATTTGGCTTGTTCTTCCATCTTCACTTTAGCAACTTCAACATCTTTAAAGTGCTGCAACTTTATTTTCATTTCATCTTGTAGCCGCTCTTCAATTTTTTTTTTATATGAATCCAGCTTAGACTGTAGAGTGAAAAATGTATTGCCTCTGCAAGTATGTTTGTCATATTCCATGTCAATCATTTTCATCTTTTCAACTAGTGATTCCCCATAGCTTGATATGTTGGTTGTCTGAGTGACCACATCATTGCCTTCTTGGGTGGAAGTGTGGCTTAACTGCGTCAAGAGAGACATTAGGAAACTTTTATCACAATTTTCTTGAGCCAACAGTGCTTTGTATAGAGACGACTCTGGAGCAATTTTCACAAACTGGAGAATATCTTCTTTTGTAAGCATCTTGTCTTTGCTCAGACCACATTCTGGGTTAAATACAGACAGGCTGTACTCATAACCTGAGTTTCGTAGATAATCAGCCACTATGCTGTTACAAACTGTGGCCAAACCAGAATCACTCTTGACAGATGACTTGCCCTCTGTCAAAGGTGGGTGCTTTAATTCCTGGATCAGCTGATTCCTCAGTTGCGTTTTTAATGTATCAAGCAGTCCTTTGCTTTTAAATGTTTGATAAAGTCTCTTTCTTAGTTCGTCGGGAGACAGCGCTTCTTCCCTGGATGCAGACATAACTGTTGCCTGCTTAAGAAGTTGATTAAAAAAACAGATATTTTGTTAGATTCGAATCATGCCACCGCGTCCATCCTCATTCGATCCCTTGTCCAATTTAATGCAATCATATCAGGTCAAAAATACATCATCATTTAAAACATATTCCAAAGCGGAGGACCACTTCACATCGGCCAAGCTAAACTATAGCAGCTACAAACAAATCCCCGTGACCAACTCACCCCTGATCTCCACGATCTAGCAAACCCTGTATTGGATAAAACAGCTATCTTGTTTGAGAGCAGATCGTTCGAAGAATTGCATGCTACATATATTAGCCTAAAAATAAAGATTGATCAAGCACTGACGTTTTTCAGCGAACGAAGCTAACGGAGCTAATGTTCCCATCATAACAATGAGTTCCTCTCCCCCATAGTGACATGTCACTATGGCGATAATTAATCCTTTTAGAACTTTGAAGTGTCATAAAGACCAGCAAAGACAGTAAGGACAGCAAGGACAGCAAAGAAGACAGTCACACCTTATGGCAGAGAGACGATATTTCATTCAAAAGCTAAGCTAAAAAGGTGGGTCTTGAGCCTACTCTTAAAAACATGAACGTTCTCTGCAGCCCTATATAATATAGAGTGACCATGGACATGTCCATTTTTTGCGTATTATATAAATATATATATATATATATATAAATACTATCTGTCGTATTTATGTAGAACAGAGATTTGAAAAATAACAATGAATTCCTCTCCCCCATCGCCATAGTGACATGTCACTATGGCGATAATTAATCCTTTTAGAACTTTGAAGTGTCATAAAGGCCAGCAAAGACAGTAATGACAGCAAGGACAGCAAAGAAGACAGTCACACCTTATGGCAGAGAGACAAAACTTACAACGCACAACTTTTATTTAGGACACAGCTCCACAAACACGTTCAGGTAAGTTTCTACTTCATTTCATGTGTTCTGACCAAAGGGAATTGACGTTTTCGTAGGCTGAAGGTTTGTGGGAGGTTTTTTTGTGGCGAACAGTAACTATTTGTCTCAAACATAAACTTATTCTAATACACTTCTTAACACGTGATTGTTTAGTGCTTTTTGAAAGGTAAAACGAGTTAAGTGTTAGGCCAGTGCTAC